ATCATAGTCATTTTAACTGACAAGAATCACGTCTTTGGACCTGAATAATGGCACCTCTTTATGAGAAATAAAACATGCTATTTTACACTGACAGCAAAAACACTGGACCTAGTTTTTGTTTTATGTGGATAAACTATTGTAACTACAGATATATTATAAACCAGGTCAGATAGCCTTAGGTCAGGGGAGTCAAACTCAAATTCACAGAGGGCCGAAATTAAAAACTGGGACTAAGTCGTGGGCCAAACTAAATATTTATTGAAAAATTTCAGCAGCATCTGCATGTTTTCTTTTCTTTCAAGATATGTAATATTAAACCTTTTCTCATTAAAATAAATGTTTAATCATAGTTTTGCTTAAACACTGAATCCAGAACAAGCATAACATAAAATAATAACAACATTTTAAATTAATAATGTCTCTATAGCCTATCTGTAGCCAGCGGACCAGCTCTAATACTTATTGGGCCAAATATAATTATATCTTGGGCCAAATTTGGTCCCTGGGCCTGAGTCTAACATGTCTGGTCCATATTGTTTGTGAAAAATATGTAGAAGGTAAGTGCTTTGTGCATTTAATGTCAGGGATGATGTCTATGCTTTTCTCTGAACTGGATGTAACAAAAGTTAATAAATAAAATAACAACATCATTTTAAATGAATAATGTCTCTATAGTTTATCTGTAGCTGGTGGGCCAGCTCTAATACATATTTGATATGATCAAATTAGGTCCCTGAGCCTGAGTTTGACATGTCTGTCTTAGGTGGTCATAATGTGTAGTCATTATATTTGACTAATTTAAGATTGCATTGTGTAACTTTTCTGGCGAAGGGCAGGTCAAAGGCTTTTCTCTATGGAGATGTTATTGCTTTGCCTGGAATGTTTCACAGTATGATATTAAGCCTTTCTATCTTCATGGAAACCAAACCAGACCAAGTTACAGTTCAGATCTGTGGAGAGGTGACCCCGCACACAGTCAGAATACCTGTTTTTCTAGTTATTTTTGAGCGTTAAACCACCTGTAATTGAATAAATGTAAGGGAGAGCTGTTTAATACTTTAGTACTATGGAACATATTTAGGCAGAGCAATGACATATCCATAGAAACAAGCAGGTGATGGACCCTAACCAAAAAGTTACATAGTGCACCTTTAAGTTAATTTATGAACTGTCTTCACTACATGGACTTGTCAATATTTATCAATCACAATCAAACTTACTTCATTTTTTATCTGGCAACAAAGTGGCTAACAGAGATGTCCAGTTATAAGGCAACCCACTGTTTTATACTGCGCTGCTTCTCTCTGACCTGGACTCACTTAAATCAATACCAGGCCTTGTAGTTCACACAATCAATTCTTTCTCATCTCACCAAACTTTTCTCTACTAAAGCTGCTTCCTTCTCATACAACCCAAGCATTATAAATGGCTTTACTAATATTGATCCTTGTCCTCCATTTGTCTCTCCGTGTTTCATTATATGTTTTTAATGGCGAGGTTATGCTACTGTACGATCTTTTGTCATCTAATTTCCAGAGCGTGAATTTTATTTTACAATTTCTGCTTTGGTCCACTCCCGTGCTATTATAAGCAATGTTGACGATATTTCATGACCTAACCTTGCAGATTGGCTTTCCCCTGGGCCTCGTAGGTGTGCATTAATAAGTGAAGTTATGTTTTAATGAGATGTTTTCACAACTTCAAAGTGGATGAGTTGAAAAGGTGTAAAGTTGGACTACCACAGTGGCTGCATTGTGTCTCTACGGGAAAGGGAAAATATGAGTGAAGTGTGTTCTGGAGGAGTTATTGATGGCGATGGCGACGCTAAGAGGATTTAATCGTGTTGTATAGCTCCAAGGACACAGCTAATGTCAATATATACTGTAAATACTGAAGTGAGTGCGTAACTGAAGGTAGCGCTAATGTGCCAGGCAAAGTTTCAAAAATGAGTTGGCCGCGTATATTATCAGGAGACTTTTCATGATTAAAGGGACATTGTGTAACCTTTATAGTAGAGGATTCGCTATCTTAATGTCTCCATGGAGGCGTTTTGCTTTTGTTCCGAAGTAAGCTTGTTTATCTTCACAGAGACACACAGGTCTTGTTTTAAGAAAGAATGGATCTTTTATGAGGCATTTTGCTCTATAAAAATGTAAAAAAAAAAAAAATTCAATAAAGAATAAACTAAGTTGGAAAAAATAAAATAAAATAAATACTGTAATCAAGCAGTTGAAAGATTGATAAGATAAATGCGGTACAGTGGAACTTTCTTGCCAAAGCAATGATCATCTTTATGGAGACTAGCAGGTGACAAACCCCCTCCTGAAAAGTTACATAATGTACCTTGAAGTTGGCTTGATTCATCAGCCGGTTTCACTTTGTGGAAACCGTCTGACCTCGCAGCATTAGGATTTGTTCGCTTGACGGTAGACGGGTACTTTTTTTAATTTAACCAATCACTATTATTTGGTCATGATGTATGTAATGTGCCAAATCCCAAAGGTTGAAGGACAATAACGTCTTTCCCCTTGATAAAATTCACCAAACATTCTTTTTGTTCCGGCTTTACATCCTCGTTCTCGGGAATCGTTGCCAACACAGAATGTATGGCTTCGTCTACATCTGTCTCGGCCGCTTTGTTCACTGTTGTGCTGTACCACAAAAAGGGACCCAGACATGGCTTCACAGCTCTTCGCTGATTGCCTGGTGCGCTGTCTACAACTTCCGGGATTCTTGCAAACTGTCTAGTGTATTCTGATTCCTTATCTAGTCGCTGAAGAGAAATGAAATTGAGCGGAGGCACTTGGTGGTGCCAGTCTGGCTGCCTTTAAGTAACTTCTCATTTGTGTTTTAAACCCGGGTCCCTTAGGTAACATGCTTTCATCATTTCATGAAAAGCTTGGGATTGGCCATCAAAAACTCTGTGTTACTAACAAAATATATTAAATGTTCAATGAGAGGAACTGATTGGAGTTTCCATGATTGGCACCAGTAAAGTAATGAAGTGATTGCACTTTGTGCACCTTGTACCTGGAGTTGTATATTTAGGCTGAGTTCTTCTCTTTAACAGAATACACTCTGTCCCACCTTGTGATGTCATGTGGTAATACAGGAAGTGCTCCACTGTGTTTTTAAACTCAATACACTTTCACTAGAATCATTTGGATGATTTCAGAACTGGAATTGCCAATCTCTACTAAACTAAAGGTAAAAAAGTAGCTGTTAGCATTTTGAGCTTTGGAAATGTAGACAGGCTACATTGGGCAAACTGTTGTACTTCTCTTTTTCAGTAGGTACTTTAAGCCTTCTGCTAATTACTACCAATACACCCACCACTATTGTTGGACTGTTGCTATAGCCATTTTACTTTTCCTGAGCACTTTTACAACAACATCTATATCTGTGTCACTCAGTTATATCATCAAGTAATGTATTCAGAAAATCAAAACCCACCAAATGTATCTGTAGTCAAACGATAAAGTCTTTACCTGGAAGCGTGTTACCATGGAGACAGTTATTGATGGGAGGAGTGAGGCGATAAAAGCAGACGACTTAATCACACCGAACGTCTCCAAGGACACACAGACATAAAACTAGTCAGTCAATGCGTAAATACAGCATTAACTTGAATTTCTATACTGCAATAATCTTTAGACTTGAAGTAGTGTTTATCAGAGTTGGGGTATTAGACAAGGTTGTCCAATTTGCCCAATTTTGTGATTATCCTTGAGAGGCGTTTGATATCTGGCTAATGAGTATGTGTTTTTGTGTGTGTGCTTGTGCCAGTGAATGTGTGTGTGTGTGTGTGATTAAAGGGGGATGATGTAGTGGGAGTGACAGACTGTACAGATGTTCAATAAATGGGCTGGAACAGGCACGAGGAGACAGGGCATCGTTCACAGCCACAACTGCTGCAGGAAATTACAAAACGGAAGTAGTGGTAGTGGCAATAGCAGTAACTATAGCAGTAGTGGTAGTAGGAGTAGTAATTGATGTAGTTGTTGCTGTAATAGTAGTAGTAGTAGTAGTAGTAGTAGTAGTAGTAGTAGTAGTAGTAGTAGTAGTAGTAGTAGTAGTAGTAGTGGCATCAGTCATATATTAGTTTGTGTGCGCCCTGTAAATTCAATATAAAATGTAAAACTGTATGTAGTATGTGAGAGCATGAACTGATCTGTTAGTCTGTTGTGTATGTGTAGTACTTTTTACCACAGTGTCAATATGTGGCTGTTCTCTGTAGTTCATTAGTAAACAGTGATGCTATTTAATGTAAATGGTAAATGGTCACATTTTTATACAGCACTTTTCCACCTTCAAAGCACTCAAAGTGCTTTACATCAAGGAACCACTCACCCATCCACTCACACAGTCATACACCAGTGTACGCAGACACTAGGGGCAAGCTGGGTTAAGTGTATTGCCCAAGGACACAACGACAGCATTCATCTGTGGGAGCTGAAATCGCACCGTCAAACTGTGGGTCAGTGGATCTGACTGCTCAATGATGTTTATGTCAAGAGCATGATTCTGGTCTTCTGATGAGTGAACGAACACTCGTCCCAGCTGAGTTTCTATTGCCCTGTAGCCCTGTATGTTAAATCTTTAGCTTGGTACTTTTGGCCAAGAACCTAGTAAAGATCTTAAAGATGCATTTTATGTAACATATAGGCCCAATTAGTGGCTTGTGTCTCCATGGAGATATTATTACGGTACCTGGAATGCTTCACAGTATGGCATTAAACATATTTATCTCCATGGAAACAAGCAGGTGATACCACCAGGCCAAGTTACAGATCAGGTCTGGCACCCTTACAGTAATAATGCATGTCTTAACTTTCACGTTAGCTATGATCAAACAGAAAGGGTTTACATTTTATGTAGAATTATCAGCTATTTTCACCAAATCTCATTTTTGTGAAGTGAGCAAATCCTTATTTAATAAAATTGACAGTGTGAAGACTGAAATGGTCTATTTTTTCCTTGTGTGTCCCTTTCTCCAGGAGGAGTGTGCATCGCCCAGTCCCTGAAGATCCCACGGGAGCCCAGGACGGGGGAGTTTGACAAGATCATCCGCCGTCTGCTGGAGACGTCCAACGCCAGGGCCGTCATCATGTTCGCTAACGAGGACGACATCCGGTAAGAGAGTCACCGCTGTGTGTGCACTCAGCTCCAACACCATCACAGGAAAGAATTAGAAAAGACGAAGATTAAACCAGTACACACACACTTCTATGTCACTGTGTTTCCTGACATTTTACTTCCTGTTTCTATTACTGCTCATGTACATAAAAGTGACAATTAGTACACTAAATATAGATGTTTCCAAATATAATCAAGTAGAAAAATTATATTTCCGTAGTTCATTTTGACATACAGCGGCCATACCGGCTTGTCAAAGCCTGATCTCATCAAAAGGGCCTTTTTGGAACCTGGATGGGAGACCGCTGGGAAAATCAGGTGCCAGTAGCAATAAACTGTTGCTGTGTCCTTAGGCAAGATGCTTCAGCCACACTTCATAGTAAGAAAGTGTGCTTGAATGGTCCCAGGGCAGCTGTGACTACAAGAGTATCTTTCCTCCACTGAGTGTGAAGTGAAGGTGTAATAAACTGTAAAGCGCTTTGGGCGTCTTGAAACTCGCTGTATAAATCCAATGATTAATTAAATGATAATAAACACTGGTAAATGTGTTGAGCAGTGTTGATATGACTAGTTTTAAGACAAGAACAAGCTATATTATTAACGTTATTAAAGTTTATTAATCAATTCATAAAAGTTGAGAGAATGTTTAGGCCTTGCTTTGGTCTGATCTACATAATTACAATATTTAAAGATGCTGTACCTGATTTTACTGTCTTATAAACAAGAAAAATAGAACTAGTTTACTATTTTAGACAGGTCCAAATTCATTCTTGATATTCTAATTAATCACTGCAATGAGGCTATAAGCACATTTCACAATTTCAGAGTTTTGCCATCATGTCACTGCTTCCAATAACTATCATGCTAACAACACATCAGCATTACTTATCTGTTCTAGATGTAAAAAAACCAAAAAAAAAACATGTATGTAAGTAGACATAGAGAGCACACAACTGTCTCATTTTGACCCTATAGCTGCTTTTACAGTATATCTGTGAGAAACTTGTTATACTTTATGACATGGAACAGTCCCTCTAAGAGCTTTAAATGCTGCACTGTTCTGTTACTATGAGCACTGCAAGGTTTGTTTAAAAATGGTGTGCAGGAATGAGAATTATTTTACTTCTGACCTTTGCTTAAGAAGTTTTACTGATGTCTGGCTTTTTGAAAAGTATATTCACAGTAGATTATCCCTCTTCTAGTTCCTCCTCACTCCTGACCAAACCTATCTTAAGATCGGAAGACGAGACAAGCTTCTTTAAAGTATTCCTAAAATGAAGGGATTAAATCATAACACAAAGCAGCATAACCAGTTCAAAAGCTTTGTACTTCCTTGTGCTGAATTTTAAGGAGGGAAAGAATGCACAATGACTTCTGAAAGAAAACAGCAGGGGGCCCAAACAATTAACACTAAGTTGGGGCACATGCTGGGAGTAATAAGTAAAAGTGTATAGATTAAAATTAATGCTGTTTAGAGCCCGAGGAGTTATGTACACGATAATGCATTTAAAAAAAGGACATTTTATGGAAACTTGTGTGACATATTGTTGCATATTGTTGCTCTTTGTCCAGTGAAACCATTTTAATGTCTAAATTTAAAGAATCTTGAACACAAATGAATATAATTTTAAGATTGTAGAAAATATTTGTCCACTGACCCACAGGTTGGCTGGTGTGATTCCAGCTCCCACAGATGAATGATGCCGTTGTGTCCTTGGGCAAGACACTTAACCCACCTTGCCCACCGTGTCTGGGTACATTGGTGTGTGAGTGTGTCTGTGAGTGTGTGTGTGAATGGGTGAGTAGTTTCTTGTTGTAAAGCGCTTTGAGTGCCTTGAAGGTGCAAAAGCGCTATAGAAAAATGTGACCATTTACCATTTACCATGACATTACCTTTTAAAAAAAAAATAATAATAATAATTTAATTTTAATTTTATTTAATCTTATTTGTATTTAATTTATATTAATTTAATTTAATTTAATTTATTTTTATTATATTGTTTATTATTTTTATTATTTATTTTATTATTTATTTTATTACTATTATTGTTATTGTTATTATTATTATTATTATTATTATTATTATTATTATTATTATTATTCATTATCATCATCATCATTATTATTGTTTATTTTTATTTTGTATAAGTTATAAAGTATTTTTTCCCCTCTCAGATTCAGGAAGTATGCTGGTTGTTAAAATAAACAGTTTTTTCTCGTTTTTAAGACAGTAAAAATCAGGACCAGCTCTTTTAATGCTAGGGGACAACTGCTCGGAGAAGAATACTGCATCATGATCTGATAACAGGGTCTATGTGCTGTGCAAAGATCCCTTAATTTACTTTCTGAAGTGTAATTTTTATGTCTGTCTCTTCCAGGCGAGTCCTAGACGCAGCCAGAAGGAACAACCAGACGGGTCACTTCATGTGGGTGGGGTCAGACAGCTGGGGGTCAAAGATCTCCCCTGTGATTGGTCAAGAGAGGGTAGCTGAGGGCGCCATCACCATCCTGCCCAAGAGAGCTTCAGTGGACGGTAAGATGAACATGATAAACTCAAACATAGATTAATTGTGTTTGTGTGTGTTTGTGTGTATGTCTTGAAAAGAAAGGACAATCTTTAAGAATTAGCAGTAGCCCCCTATTTTGCAAAATGTAAATCATCAACTTGGTTTTCCGCTCCTAACAAGCACCTCGCATGTAAGTCAGAGCATGTATTTAATCAGCAGTTAACAAACACTCTAAACTGGGCAAAAAGTTGTTAGCAGCTTTTTTAGTGAGTTGGAAAATTTTATTGATGAATCCAAACCTTTCTCCAACTGCTAAATTGTGTCCAGAATGGGATATCCTTTATTTATCACACTATGGGGAAATTCAAAATGCACTCAAGAACAGCAGGGAATTATAAATATACATACAAAAATTTAGATAAATACTAACCTGGCTCATACCAGATTCATTTGTGTGTCACATTATCCATCTGAACGGCTCTTGCTGAAATCATTTGGAAAACGTGGAACAACCTGGTGACTATTTGAATCTGACCGGACGAAGCATCACAACAGCGGAACAAGCAGAAAAATCAAACTTTTGTTACATCCAGTTGAGAGAAAAGCATAGACATCATCCCTGTCCACAAATGCAAAGACATTCTTTATTTAAAATGTTGTTATTATTTTATATTATGCTTGTTCTGGATTCAATGTTTAAGCAAAACTATTATTAAACATTTATTTTAATAAGAAAAGGTTTAACATTACATATCTCGAAAGAGGAGAAAACATGCAGATGCTGTTGACATTTTTCGATAAATATTTAGTTTGACCCACAGCTTAGTCACAGTTTTTAATTTTGACCCTCTATGAATTTGAGTTTGACACCTGTGATATAGACCATCTTGATGCTAAAATCAGCTGAAGTACATCTGTCAGCACCACCATGTTTGTTTATGTTTGTTTGGGCGCTTGGCCTTTTGTACAAACCTCAGTGCTGCGATGTGATTGGTCACTCATGTGGGCACATGCCAAGATGGATTCTCCTGAGTTTGTGAACTTACAAATATTGCTGGAATTGATCTTGGTGTGCAATTAAATATCCCCGCTCTTTGTCTTTTTGTCCTTTTGTTGTATTTTAAGTACAAGTTTAAAAACATGCATTCGTTTGTCTTTATGCCAATTTGCCAATATTCCTTGATGACACTGTAGATGTAATTTATTACCCACACCTATGGCTCTATCGCCTAAAATGTCTAAACACACATTACACATTACACATCACATTAGCTTTCCCAGCAGGGACACAGTGTGCGGTGACGCTCCTGTCTCCACACTCTCACTTTCAGCACGCAACAAGTTTTACCATTAGTCCAGGAAGTAGACCCTCATTTGCTCCCTGTCAGAGCTCCCTATTAGATAATTGACTCCTGGAGGGGCACAGAAACTACGAGATGTAAAGTTAAATTCGGAAATAGAGTGAGGGACAGAGAGAGGGAGAGAGACAGACAGAGGGAGAAAGAGACAGAAAGAGACAGAGAGGGAGAGGGGGGAGGGTGTGAGAGAGGAAGAGGAGAAGAGGGAGAGGAGATGTAGAGTGCCTGTGAATGACTTTTAATGAATCAAAGTTGGCTCTTGCTAGAGACAATGAGAGATAGTTCCCTTTGGGTCATCTGTACAGATAAAATGATAAAATGTCTGTTAATCAGAGTGGCACAATAGTATTTCTGACAGTTATTCGTGGATATATTTCTCCATTTGACTGTGACTAAGTGCTTTTTATAACTAATTATTATCTGTACAGTGTGTCCATTTAATGAGGTCTCAACAATGTCATGACACAAAATTAGTGTAATAATTCAGAGGGATTAACTTATTGGATTCTACTTGTTGAACGATAAAGTGCATAATGGCTTCTAATAAGGATGTATAATAATCTGTAGAGCAGGGGTCTCCAACCTTTTTTCTACGGTGAGCTATTTTTTATAAAACAAAAATATAAATTTAGTGCCTGCAAAAAAACCTGAGTAAATAAAAGAGCCACAGTTAGCCTTAGATGGGGTGCAGTCAGATGCCTTTGAAAAATAAACCATTATCCATTTATTAGAGCACACAGTTGGGCATCAAAATGAGAAATCTACAGTTGTAATAAGCTTTTAATCAATCAAATTTAGGTTCTTCATCACAATAGCATAATTCAGAAATCCCTTGGTAAGCTGCTTGGAAGGGGGTCGAGAGCTAGTGGTAACTCCTGAGCTACAGGTTGGAGACCACTGCTGTAGAGAAGATTGATTTGTTTCAGCTAAAAAAAAAAAAAAAAAAAAAAAAAATCAGGTTTGGTTGCAGATTAGTCGTACTATGTCCATCTACTTGTATGTCTTATTTTTCCAGTAAGGTGCTCTTCTAAATACTCCTCAACTTAACAACAAAAAACAGTCAGATTCCCTTCCTTGTGAAACTATAAAAAACTGACTGATCAGCATAAAAGCGAGATCTGATCCTGTCAGTCTCTAAAGCAAAAACGTATATTATATATTATATGATATTTACTTATACATACTCACTGTTTGCAGGCGTCTCTATAATTTGTTAAATAGTGGAATGGTTTAAAAGTTAATGGTCCTAAAATTGACCATTGTGACCGAAAAGAACATCGTTACCTCATCGAAAACATACCTGGAGTTTTGTTTCATTCACACATCTTTGAATAACCTCTGTCTACATCTCCAAAGCTCAAAATGCTCTGGTCCACTTTGTGATGTCACATATTAGTAGTTTTCAAGCATAGACTGTATAAATAAGTGGACTAAGTGAGTGTGACGTCACCCACAGCGTTCAGTGCCGCTCAAATGAAGCTCACGATGCTAACTGTCACAGGAGCGAATTTGGGAACTACAGTATATTATGAATAGAATTTTTTTGACGGACAAAAGGGGGAAAAAAAACAACAAAACAGAATCATATAGAGTGGGTTAATATGAACATTTTAAGACCAAAATCAAAATGACGAGGCTCACTGCAGCAGTTGCACAGAGAGGGACGACAATATTCCAATATAAGTCAAGGGGAACCAGGGTCAGTAGGAACCGGAAGAGCCGCAGGAAAACTTCTTATATGGAACACGGCAGTTAGTGCATCAGCTATGTCCATTGTTCAGATTGGTGATACCAGGGCTGTAATCATCCAAATGATTCTAGTGAAGGAGTATAAAAACACAGTGGTGCACTTCCTGTATTACCACATCACATCACAAGTTGGAACAGAGTGTTTTCTCTTTGAGCAAAGAGTGGGGCCTAAATATCCGCGATTTTTGTGTTAAAGAGGTGTGAATGAAACTGGTGTTTTTGCGACGAGGAAACAACATTGTAACACATATGAGAAAAAAGCATAATATGGGTCCTTTAAAAAGTAAGAGTTACTTATTTCACGATGATAAATTCTACTTTTTGAAATAGTGCACAGGACCTTTATCTCTCTGTTGCACCACTCTGATTTTGGCTCTGATCTAGTCTTCCAAAACAGAATGTGCAAATATAGCACACGGTTTGGCAGAGACTCCACAGCAGAAGGCGTAACTCTGCAGTCTGAAGTGTGTAATCGCCGCCGGACACTGCACTTCCAGATGTGCTCAACCTGTTGATCTAAAACAGCAGTCTGCTAATGTGTTAGCCCGGGCCAGCACAGGTGCACTCTGGGTAATTTGTTTGACACATGAGGTGATTCATCAAGGCAGCCGCTCGAGCATGCTGCAGGAAGCCCAGTGTAACCCCAGTGTAACCAGGATTTATCTGATTACTTTACTTTGCAATGTGGTGGTTAGTTTTTCATAGTCTGAAATAACTTGTTTAAGTAATTTTTTGGCAAATTGAGTTTTCTGTCTATTTCTACTCTCCAGACCTTGCTGCATCTGTAGATGTAATTAGCTCCATTCTCAGCCAATCAAAAAAACAAAAAGCAAGTCATCGCATTAACACAGGCTGATTATTTCTGTATTTTTACCAAAAACCTTGAAACATGACTTAGACAATTATGCTATCATTATGCTTTTTTCAACATGTAAAGTACTTGCTTTGTAATCAGAATGCTCATTTAAATCCTCCATCCATCCTTTTGTTTTTATCACTGCCCACAGAGAACAGCTGGCCATAGTGACGACAGTTTGTAGACAGACCACAGTTTGTCTACATGAGATGCTAATGCTTTTTCTTGAATGTTCCATTGTCAGTATTGGGAAGGTTACTTTTAAAATGTATTCCCCTACAGATTACAGATTACATACCCCAAAATGTAGTTTGTAATGGAATCCATTAAATTACTTAAGGTGAGTAACGTAATCTGAATACTTTGGATTACTTGGTTTGCTGTAGAGAAGCAAAAACTAGGATATCGTAACATAAGATGTTTTATCTAAAAGACAATAAAAAGCCCAGTCTTTACTTTACCAAATTAAAAATATTATTGATAGAAGAGAAGGAGACACAGCATGGTTTAGTCCTGTTTTAGTCCTTGTTTTAGTCCTGTTTAGTCCCGGTTTAGTCCTGGTTTAGACCTGGTTTAGTGTCTGGCAATGAGTGGAAATACTGAAAAAAAAAAGAGATATTGCCCAAAATGTGAAAACAGGAAAATACCGCCATGTAATCCATTTATTTCAACAAAGTAACTGTAATCCAATTAAAACTCATTCAGACAGTAACTGTAACCAAATACAGTTACTCATAATTTGTACTCTTACTTACTTACGTAACTCCAGTATATGTAATCTGTTACTCCCCAACACTGTCCATAGTATGGGATTAATGTTCCTTTTATTCAGGCGTTTTTATTTCTAAAAATACCCAAAACATGCATTCTTACTTTGAAGAGTCCTCCATAGATCAGACAAGTAACTTTGCCTGGTAGCGATAACTGTCTTCATGGATATAGAAAGAAACAGGTGGCAGACACTACACCAGGAAGGTTATATTGTGCTCCTTTTAGTTTGTGGTGAGGCTAAAAGCAAGAATTAAGAAGTTGAAATCCACCCATTGTTGTTAATACGTTCTCAGATTCTAAAATGTAATGATGTCTTACTCTTAGATTGGGGCAAGAGTCTGTTTTCCCTTTACTATTGTGATTAGCCATGAAATATCTAAAAGGTAAATTCACAAATATTGAACCTGGTTATTTCTATCAGGAACTAGACTCTAGAACTTCCTATGTAATAACAGACATTTTTATTTCTTTTATTGTGCTGTAAGTGTAAAGTATAAATGAATACAAGTCCAATCATTAAGCTTTGTCATGCCTTATTAAGTGCAACTGGTCCACCTCTGACTGTCAAAGGTCTCTTTCAGGAGCAGACTCAGGTTAAAACTCAGGGTCAGAGGTATAAAGCCTGTTCCAGATTAGGTTCAGTAATTTACCATGGTGACTGAGTCAGGGTTTGAGTCAGTCACCCTGAGTTGACCTCTTTTCAGGGTTAACAGAGTCTGAGTTTGGCCTAAACCTGCTTCTTGAAATAGGGCCAATGTGTTCTTAATTGAGTTACTCTGAATATTGTTCCATTTTCTTATTCAATACAATATTTTTATTTATTTATTTTTCATTCTGACCCTTATTTATTATTTTTAAATGCAGCAAAGCAGTGTCACCAAAGTCTCCCCAAAAGTGTGCCTCTTGCAGTAGCGTACAAAGCACTTCCCAATTAACTGCACTCTGAAAACAGCACAGTGTTTTTGTCTAGCTCATTTCTCTTGGTTCTTAGTCACTTTGGCCGCACCAGCTTATGACAGGTTGGTTTCCATTTTTATGACTGGTGAAATGCACTCCTCTCTTCTTCTTCTTCTCTTATTAAATTGGACGTTCAGTGGAGGAGATTGTGTAAGTGCAGTTGAAAATGTTTTCTCTGGGTTGTAGCATTTGATAGGAGGCTGCAGTAAAAGGCATCGCATAAAAAAACTGACGCAGTGCTTTTTCACTATCAGGAACAATTGTAGATACAAAATATGTAAACAACCAGAGTGCTTTCACAAGCTGAACACTTACTTATAACAAAAAAAAAAAAAAAAAAAAAGTTGGTGCATTGTTTGACTTGTGATTAAAATTGTACAGATAGAAAAAAGGGGTAGAATGTTATTATGTCCATAAATGAACTTTTTACTTCAGGAATATATATTTACACACTGTACCCAGTGGTATTGTATGGTAATACATGCATCACTAATTTCGAACTTCCAATCATCGCGTTATGCATACTGGGAAGGATTTTCTGAAAAAGTGAGCATCAAACCGCCATGTTTGTTTTCCCAAGCCAATCTTTTCTTGTCTTTTGAACCATATCCCTTTTGTTTCTGGTTCTGATATTGTCCAGTAACCACACAATTACGATGTCTGAATCCCATAACTAAAATATGACAATATCAGAACCAGAAACAAAAGCAATATGGTTCAAAAGACGAGAAAAGACTGGCTTTGTCAATAGACGCATCCCACTGGGAAATCAAACATAGCATTTTGATGCTCACTTTTTTGGAACATCCTTCCCAGTATGCACTGCGTGATGACTGGAAGTCTGTCATGATGCATGTATTACTGTTCAGGGTCTTAAGGAGTAGTCTGAATAGTAAGAGTACTAGCAGTAGTAATGGTATTTGTAGTGGCAGCAGCAGTAGTAGCAGTAGCAGTGGTAGTAGGAGCAGGAGTAACAGCAGTAATAGCAGGAGCAATAGTAGCAGTAACAGTATTGGTAATATTAGTAGTATCATAGTAATAGGAGCAGTAGTAGTAGCAGCATCAGCAGTATAGCAGTATTAATAGTAGTAGTGGGGGTGTGTGATTCTCTGGCAAAACCAAACTTTATGCTGGAGTCAACTATGAGGCACATTTGTTTTTCTTACTGAGTTATTCTGGACTTGGATCTCAAAAAGTGGTTGTGATGTGTTCTTTTTGCTTTTGGTTTGTCAGTGAATAAAGATGAGCTATTCATATTATATTAACCTTCTTGAAACACAGTATAACACAACGTGCTGCGAGCTGGATATCCTCCCATTGTATTTGAATCTCTTTCTCTCTTTCTCTCTCCTTGCAGCCTTTGACCGCTACTTCCGAAGTCGCTCCCTCTCCAACAACAGAAGAAACGTCTGGTTCGCCGAGTTTTGGGAGGAAAATTTCAACTGCAAGTTAGGCATGCATGGAAAACGACCAGGAAGTCTGAAGAAGTGCACAGGTAAGACCCACAAACAATCTCAACAACAACAACAACAACAACAAGTCAGAGTCAAATCAGCAGAAAATCAAAACAGGAATCTGTGCACGTTCAGCCAGCAATTAGTGGGGATTTTCACAACGCTCAAATCAAATGCTTCTGGCTTGAAGTCGGGTTACACTTGGAATAAATAATTTTGCTCATTTGAGGACTAGTGCTTTGGCTGCGTGGTGTAAGCTGGCCAACCGGTCTAGCAGGTGGTCAGTTCTAATTAAGCTTGTCTCGTCCTGCTCTACATCTGCCTGGTCCCACTGCACTGGTCAGTTTGCTGCTTCTGCCTGTGGTATGATCATGCTAACATCATCAGCTGAAACACATGAGGGGGATGTGTGCGTACAACTTTGGCCTATCCTGAAGCAACTTAATTAAAGCACTACATGAGTTTTACTATCTTAAAGCAGATCTTGACTGACCTTGACTTTTCAGAGCCTAAAGTTAGTTTCTTCCGCTTCTCATTTACCCCGTCAAAGTTGCATTTGGAGTGATTTGTGCTTGTTTGTTTGGGCAATCTTTAAACGCTTTTTTTCAAGACACATATTGCCAATCAACCCTCGTCACTCTTTCACCATTACACCTTGCTCTGTACTTATTTTGTTTTATTATTTTACTATTTTATTTTGTCTGCTCGCTACTATGATGTGCAGCTATCCATCAGAGCTGCCGACTTTTTGTTGTGATGACGCTTACGACAATGTCAACTCCCGTCAGGCACTGCAGTTTTCTAACAAGGAAGTAATCTGTCTTTTTTATTTATTATTATTATTATTACTATTATTATTATTATTAATTTTTTTGTTTTAGATGAATATTGTGATTTAAAATGTGTACGGGTGTCATGGAGTATAGCTGTACAGCAGACTCAAGCACGGTCTCCTTTCAAAACAGAACTAGTTCGTTTTAAATGGTCACTTACCTTATGCATTCTGATCATCCTAATACAAATGCTTTTCACACCTCTCAGAGAAGTCTTGCCCTGTTGATAAAGCTATCAACCACTAGCATGCACTTCCTGATTATCAGACCGACACGCCTGAGGCCATGTCAGACCTGTCTGATCCCACCTCATTTGAAGTCTATAAGCAAACATCATGCGACATTGAAAAGGTGCATGCACTGACAAAACTAATGATGAGGATAATGATTTTAAAGCTTTTTTTCCCCCCCAAAGACCACCTGGAGTCATGTTCGCACTTTTCTGCTTTGGTCCTTGGTTTAAGCCCAGTGTAATGTGCAGATAGACTTGGTTTAGTCCTGTTCTTATCCTTGTGTTGTGCTGGTTTGGTCCATGTTTAACCATTGGTTAAGTCCAGTTTGAGATATACAAATATGAACACACCTTAAAATCTCAATAGGTGGGTTCTAAGGGTATAAATAAGTACATAACCACATAATGGTCAGAATAGGAAGTGAACATGGGGGATCTTCTGGTTCCATCGACTCTATGTCCAGTTGATCTTACGTTGAAAAATCGTCACTCCTTTCTCTGTAACTGCTGCTGTGAACCTCGAAATTTCAAACTCGCCCTACATGATCCAGATGTTTTTATTTTTTCTATTTTGTCCATAAATATATTCCTATTTCAAACATGGAACTCTGCATCAAATTCATCCCTATAATTGCTGGCAGTGAGCTTCATTTGATGCTATGGAAGAAGCCCTCCCTTGCAGTTCGAGAACCACTGTTGTCTGAATGAAAGCTGAATGACCTGGGTTAAATATAATGCATGAACCAGAAAGAAAACAGCCACTTGTTGCGAATTCAAAAGCTAAACCCATGTCACAGATACACTCCTCCTGCTTTATAATGACACAGTACCATACAAATCATCTGTATGTAGTCATACTACATGCTGATGCTGCTATTAATTCACATAATGAGGTTTGTAAGGGCACTGACTCCCATTGACTCTCTATTAGCAGTCGTGCCATCAGAACTCTCATTCTCATGTGTTGAGCTTCTCCGTAGCCAAGCGACAGATTGCATTAATTCCAAATGGCGGGAGTTGTGACCTCCGAGTCATCAACACAGCAGCCAATCAGACGCCGGCTGCTCAAGGTCGCCTAGGTGACTCCACCGATGGAAGTCATTTTTATGAGCCGAGAGAGAGAGACAAATAGAAATTAACTGGGTCAAGTATAGGAAGGAAAAGCTGTTAATACACTGGTACATTAAACCAGTGTTGGCTCAAAAAGAATATTTTGCAGGAACAAGAGACCTCAGAGTTGAGTAGAGCATACAATAACTTATGAATGTGATGTCAATCACATTACAGCTCTAAAGTAGTTGTGTGACCAGTCTGTCCTGCCCACTTTATGTTGGAATAGTTTAAATTCAAAACAGTCTAGATCTGATAAGGTTGGTCAAACAACTGTCTTCTCCAAATACCTTGGAACGGTCCCACCACAGTCGGTAATTTGTATCACGTTGCTTCTTTCTTCAGAACTTACTGTTTTTACTGTTGTTGTCATTTCTTTTTCACAAATTTCCCCAAAGGAATGTCCACTAATGTTGGACCTGATATTAGTTAATTAAACTGTGTAGTAATCTTTCCCTTCACTATTCATACCACCGCGGAAATGAAGATTAATGTATTTCTATCTGAGCTGACATGGTTATTCATTTCTATAGCTGCTACATTCATCGTTTTCTAAGTGTTGATTAAAAAGCAAAGTTGAACAAGAGCAGCGTGTTTTCTGCGGCGGAGTGAGAGTATCTTGTTTTCTTGGTTTAGCCGTGAGTGGAGCACCGAGCAGCTGTAATACTTTGTGCAGAGCTGAGGAGGAGTGCAGTCAGGTAAAACGTCGGCCTGGGGGAACAGAGCACAAAGCAGACAGATCTCAGATAAGCTCTCACATCCTCGCAAACATTAAGCTCCAGATCAGGTTAAAAGCAACAACCACTGGGTTAATTCTCACACGTAATCCATACCTCTTACCCTTGTATCATGGAATTCAACCAGGAGTCGTACACAGAGAAATAGATACACTTTGGACACTGGTAGGTAGAGATGTCAGTCATGCGGCAAAGGGTAGTTTAAGATATCTGTTAGGGCAAGTTGTAGCTTCAGATGCACTGCAGAACATTTCTAATGGAAGGTCCGCCACCTCCTTGTCTCAATGGAAATGTTATTTACCTTTGTTGAGAATGTTCCACAGTATAGATTAAACCTATCTATCATGCAGATGACAGCACTACACTACATTACAATCCAGATCTGTGGAGAGTCGCCCCTATTCACAGAAGGACTGATTGTATTTTTGATCAATAGAAACATGAGTAATGAACAAATGCTAGAAGGATATATTCAGTGACATAGCCTGAAACATATGAGCTGAAGCAAGAGCATTTCCATGGAGACAAACAGGTGGTGGGCCCTCTACCAGAAAAGTTGCGCAGTGCACCTTTAAAGGGTGCTGGTTTGCTACTGCAGAATAATGCTGCAATCATTTGGTGATTGACTGATATTAATGAGTGGCTTTTTCATGATTTTTTGTGTTCCTTAATTAGGATTTATTGCTTTAGAAATTGACTATCACAGGAATCTAAAATATTGTAACGGCGGTTATGTGAAAAAAATGTGAGAACAGGTTGGCTCGTGTTTCAGATTTATTAGAACCGGCAAAATAACAACAGTGCAGGGTTAAGTTTCACACACTTCTGCCTAACTCATGGTCTGAACGCTCCCCCCCGAAAATGACCTGTCAATAACTAGCCCCAAATAAAAAAATAAAATACAATTTTAAAAAAGTCCCATAAAATACTGCGACACAGTTTGTAGGTCGCTACAATATATTGAAAATTACTTTGAATGTGACTATACAGTTAGAACTCTATGTTGGTTATAAGGCCTAATGAATGTCATCTTTTAGGATACCTTTAATTCAAGAGTATTTTGGCATGGTTAAAAAGAAATAAAATAAATAAATAAATAAATAAAGTTTTAAATCAGATGCCTTTCCTTACTTAAAATCACCACTACAAGAAACCAGTCTGCTTTTTGGGGCCCTGGTGTACAGAAGTGGCCTAAGATCGCACCCTCCCTTCATTTCCTTAAGAGGCAGCACAGCCCTCCTGCAGTGCACCATGGGATTACACCGACCCAGGGCAGGTGGGTGGGTTAAATCTAGACACTGTCACCTGCAAGCAGCGGAAAATTGAAGCGCAGTAACCAATTAGAACTGAGCTTTGCATAAAGTAGGATTAAGGATTTTTCTGAGAACTTGACATTCTGTGGGTGGCTTTTTATGCGTTTCGTTCATCTGAGAATATATGCTTTATTTTGAGCCATGTGAAGTAAGGAAAAATAAACATCATAGAGATCCTGGATTATATAAAGGATACCAAATGCTTTGTAGACCATATCATGTAGAAGTTAATTTTACTGATCTTAAGATGCAATATAAGTCTTAAGGGTGAATGCCCGTTGAATCAGTATGTACGAGGTTTTGTTTCATTCACACATGTTTAACACATAATCCCTACATACTTAGATGAGTGTTTTCAATTATTCTCTCAAACTGAAAACATTGTGATGTTATGTGGTAATACAGGAAGTGCTCCTCTGTGTTTTGGAACTCCACACTTTCACTTCAAACTTTCACACTTTCACCAAAGCATCATATAGTGACTCACATGGCTCTTTCTTACAAAATTTCAATAGACAAATATTTTCTAATTAGTCTGAAACAGTGTGTATAGCAGTTTGATATTTTTTGCAAAGGCTTTTACACCTCCTGTTTACTAATTTAAGAGAAAAATTTGGGGGCACTTCAGCTTTAGCGTGTATTCGTTTCAAATAATCTCTAACCCACCACAACATTCCTTATTATACAATATTTCACTATGAATGTGACAAATAAACCGGGTCCGTAAATATAACAGACTTTTATGTGAGCTCACATATTAAATTCCAGTTATAACCAACCTCTGAGTGAAACTGCAGCATTTGTAATAATGTATGT